AGAACATAATTAATTTGTTCCCTTACTGCTTCATCTTGAATACCAAATAAATGAACTTTACATGGACTAAGATAATAGATTTTACTTACTTGTTGATCTAATTGTGGCACATGAACATTTTGGGCTCAATCATAACTATAATCAGCAGTAGCATCAATACTACAATATTGTGTTTTACCCTTGGAATGATTTTGATCAACTAATTTTCTTTGTTCTTCTGCTAATTTGGTATTTTTATTATAATAATTTCTTTCTATTTTGGCTTTAGACAGATGTTCTTTAAACCCTTTGAGCAAATCTTTAGCTTCTTCTTCTTGGCGAGCATTATAATGTAAACCATCTCTAAAATGTTGGCAAGTATCACACAAATCAGTCCTTGGACTCATAATTTGAATCTCTGGTGTCAATTGATGTCATAACTTCCTAAAAGCATCATATTTCAAAAATTTCAAATTACTATCTTCTTCTAGACCAGCCAGAAAGCCTCTATGAACTGATTTATAACTCATTTCAGCTGGTAAAAATATAACTGATTGGGTTATTCTATTGATGCTTCTGCCTGGGCTTGGTAATCCATGGACTTCTGCATAATTTTCTAGAAAATTCTTTACTGCTTCCGCAACATTTTTATCAATCACCATTTTAGTTTTCCATTGAGGCATCCTTTTAATATTACCATGAGTTCTTGGTAGAAGACCATTTTTTATCAGATGATTTCTAATATTTTCAAAACAAGTCCTACCAATTCCCAACATATTGAGATAAGTTTCTTGACAAAGAGGTGTATTGTGGTCCCAATGGTAGAAAGTTCTTTTGTTAAATCTGGTTTTCTTTTTAAGACGTCTGCTGGTGCTTGTTAATCCACCATCCATTGCCTTAAGTTGGGCCATTAAAAATATGTCTTGTTCTGTTCTGGAAAGAGCTTGAAAAGATTCTCTCAATTCTGCAAAATTTTCCTTGGGAATTCTTGAAGAACAATCACAATCACAACCTTTTTCTAAAAAGTCAAGGCCTTTTCATATTCATTAGAGCCATTATTACTTTTCATATACACTTATTCCTATATATACAATTTTATGTTCACTTTGTAGGTTTTCCTTTATTTAAAATTAAAGAGATTCTAAAATTGGTCCTGTGGTGATGAGCAAAGTGGGCAGAAAAGAATTAAATTTGAGTGGATCTGCAAATAAAGATCTGAAATATTTTCATGTACTGTATATATTCAATAATTGATATAAAAGAGAAAATAAAAATCCTCAACTTGTTCCATGAAAAATAATTATATTAGATTTAAATTTATTATTATTAAAAATGGATAAGATAAATTATCTTGAGACCTGGGATTTATTGATTGAACTAAAACAGATAAACAAATAAATAATG